AGCTGGTCTGGTGTGTGTTGTATATAATTTTCTAAGGTGGCTTTTGAAAGTATATTTTCTCTATAAATATGTATCATTCTAGAATCCTGTGTGTGAAAAGTTTTGGTATTGTATATACATCTACCTTTAAGCCCATGTGTTTATTACAGCTCTCCAATGATCAAATGACTACAGTATTTATTATTTTTTATTTATTACCGTAAAATATTTTTCACTTATCCTTTAACTGCCAGTTTTTTCAATTTGTTGGTATTCTTAATTGAGATGATTGCTTGTTCTTTCTTGGAACATACATGTATGTTGACTTATAAACATTTGTTTAGTGACCATTTGCAATACAACAGCATTAAAAAAGGGAGTTAAAATTGGTCCTCATACTTACGACCATTGTAGCATCCCCATGGTCATGTAATCAAAATTGAGGTGCTTGGCAACCGCTATGTATTGCATTGTCCTGGGGTCATGCAATTGCCATTTGTGACTTTCTCAGCTGCCTTCTGACAAACAAACTTAATGGAGGAAGCTGGAGTTACTTCATGACTGCCCAATTCACTTAACTGTATTGATTCACTTAACAACCATAGCAAAAAAGTTTCTAAAATCAGGCATGACTCATTTGACAACGATCTTGCTCAGCAATGAAAATTCTGTTCCCAATTGTGCCGGCAATCAAATATAAGAAGGATGGTTGATTTTAAGCACCATCATTTTATAGATCTAAATTCCAAACTCATGATCATTCTGACATTATTCTCAGGGTCATTGAGAGTAATGGTAGGTCATTCTACCATATCAAGGTAGTAGGGAATAGCAGCTTAACCTATTTAGGTAAGAATGAAATTATTAGTTGTAGGCATGCTTCTTCCTGTCCTTTTCTGCTCCCTATTGGAGGGGGAGAGAGGTAATTTGCATCACTTTCAAAAGCTCCTGTTGAATTTAATTAACAATTGTCTTTACTGTACATCTGTTCTTAAAATTTGCTGATTTTTGTTCATCTTTTCAGATCATGCAACCTATTGAAACCTTGTCTGTGTTTGAGGCTGTTCAGAAAACAGCTTTAATGAATGGACTTTGTCTTGTCACTGAATCAACAGAAGATATCACTTCTGTGGCAGCTCCAGGTACTGAATTTATGAGCAACAAATGTTATCAATGTGGGTGGGGAGATTTGGCAAATGGCCACTTGTTTACCTGATTTTGATTGGGACAACCATGACCTGGATGACTGAGAATCTCCATAGACAGATTTAAAGTCTTCAGTTTCAAATTGAAATTGGTTGTGTTTTCCATTTTAGTTTGCTTATCTAAACAGGTTCTCTAGAATCCAGAAAATTAATGCTAGAGTTAGCTAGCCAAATTTTATTAGGGCACAATTTGATTATGTTTAATAAAACAAGCCTTTGAACTGGTCAGCATTACCAAATCCATATCTTATATAGTGGGTTGCAATATAGTTTGACGTATAGGTTGAATGGAATATGATCCATACGAAATTTCCAGTGTTGTCCTGAAATGATAGCAGAAAGAGTAATTCTGTGTGGTGTTCCAGGGAAAAGTTTGTTATAATGGATCCTTCTTGGTTAATTCTCAGATATCTGTATTGTAGTAAGCATCTTTCTCAAAGCCAATGAAATTGCTAGAGTTAACTCTGTAAATGACCTCATTTAGACATAACAGGAAACCAATGTTTTCCCACAATGTGACTGAACCTCGGCAGCCTTGAGTTTCTACATTTTCTTCCTGTTCTATTTTTGGTCTACCAGTTAAAAACATTAGGTAGGAACATCTATTTTTAAGATAAAGTTACCATATTAACAAAGAATGGTTTCCTTAGTTGTTACACGGAGCTGAGGTTAATTGTAAAGGTTAGCTGAATATAGAAAGCAAATGCATCTGATCATTTCAGATTATTAAAATAGAAGAAGTGACACGGAGAAAATAGAAGTAAAGCTGAGCTACCACCTGAAATCTTCATGATTAGTAGACAAATTTAGTACATGTGTTTCTCTAGCAACTATTTAAAATTAATTACTCTTAAATAATCTGTTTTTATGTTTGCTACATGGGAATAGTGCAATTCAGATTTTGAGAGAATGGATTTGGGCTTACAAATGTATGGTTCACTTAACTGTCATAAAAACAGTTATCAAATCGGATATGATCACATGGGTGACTTGAATTATGGCCATTATGACTTATAACCAAATTCCAATCCCAAGAGTGGTCATCAGTCAAGAAGTACCTGTATATGAATTTATCTTATTAAGTCAAATGACAGGATTGGGTTTTATTTAAAAAAATCTGTTTTCATTTTAGTTTTAAGGCTGGTATAAATAAATTTCTGTCAGATATAATGTGTCCTTTCTGTGACTGATGAAGTGCTATGCCTTTTTTCAATGAATTTTTTAAAAGACATACATTCATCACAGGTTTGTGTTATAAGTGCCCATTTTTTGCTGTTCTTGCAGAAACCAAGGAACTCCAGCAAGCTAAATTAATCCTAGAAGTATCAGACCGGATGTATTGTTCTGTTTGCTCAAAGACGTTTGAGAATCGAGATGAACAGGTAGCTATGACTGCAAGTATTTTCTGTACGAACGAGCAGTCTCTCTTTTGCTTCAAGTGAAATCTGGGGATTTTAAATTATTCCAATCATTGCAAAGGTAGCCATGTATTGATGGGAATTGTTTCTATGTGTAAAGTCATAGACGCATTTCAGGTTCATTAAGAGTTTGCCTATTCATCACAAGAAATTTAGTTCAATCTTTTGAACTACTTACTGTTTCTATTCAGAAAGAGCACTATCGGCTAGATTGGCATCGCTTCAACCTAAAACAGCGATTGTTGGGACATCAGATGCTCACAGCAGAAGAATTTGAAGCGAAGACTCAAGCAGGTGAAAAAAAATATACGGATAAGAACCATTAT